TTGATGTTACCTCGGTTTACTACAGAACTTTCTTTACTTCGGCTGTCATCTTTACCTCGACTCTGTGCTCAACTAAGTAATAGAATAGAAGCATTGACCGAGCTATACCTAGCTCGGCCATTTGTCTTGCCAAACACCTCGGCCAACCCTTGGGCCTAGTATTTAGGTAGCTTGGTCAACGCTCTTGCCCAATTTGGTACTCAGATAAAAAGGGACCGAGCTACCCGTCGTCTATACTCCGGCCCTTATCTCGGCCGAGCTCCCAAAGAAGACTCTTCCTAGCTCGGCCCAATTTGTTTACAAATTACCCTCCCAATTGCCCCTTAAATCCATCTGCGTAGCATGATTGTGATTATTTTTCCTCCAGCCGAGCTAAGAACGCCCCCACTCTGCCGAGCTAAAAAGTTTGTTCGGCCCCCAATAAGCCTTGTCAGTTGCTCAACATGTTATTCCACTAATCTGGTACGACGTCATTCCTAGGATATATGGCGTACCCCCAAAATCCTTGTTCTCCTGTTACCACCGTCATGCCGAAAATTTGAATAGCCTTGCTTTTTTGCCTTCAACGTATATATCCTTCGAGTTTGCAATCGTATGGCGAGTCGTTCTTTCTGTGTCTCGCCGAGTAGACTAACTCGGTTTATACTAACTCTGCCAACCTGCTTTGGCCGAGATAACCATCTCGGTCCAGGAAAAAATTTGTTGGTCAAACCTGCCAATCTGCTTTGGCCGAGATAACTATCTTGGTCTAGGAAAAAATTTGTTGGTCAAACCTGCCAACCTACTTTGGTCGAGGTAACCATCATCCCGGCTAAAGAGTTCAAAAATTTGTTGATCAAACCTGCCAACCTACTTTGGCCGAGGTAACAATCATCCCGGTCAAAGAGTTCAAAAGTTTGTTAGTCAAACCTGCCAACCTGCTTTGGCCGAGGTAACCATCATCCCGGCCAAAGAGTTCCAAAAATTTTGTTGGTCATACCTGCTAACTTGCTTTGGTCGAGGTAACCATCATCCTGGCCAAAGAGTTCAAAAAATTTTGTTGGTCATACTTGCCAACCTGCTTTGGCCAAGGTGACCATCATCCCGGCCAAAGAGTTCAAAAAATTTGTTGGTCAAACCTGCCAACCTACTTTGGCCGAGGTAACCATCATCTCGGCCAAAGAGTTCCAAAAATTTTATTGGTCATACCTGCCAACCTGCTTTGGCCGAGGTAACCATCATCCCAGCCAAAGAGTTCAAAAATTTATTGGTCAAACCTGCCAACTTCCTGTAGCCTAAATCCTCATCTCGGCTTAGGAGAGTTAAATGTTGGTTATTCCTGCCAACCCTCTTCACCGCGGATCCTTATCTCGGCTTGAAGAAGAGCTAAATGCTTGGTCATTCCTGCCAAACCTCTTGATTGCCCCCTAGTAGGGCAAAGACTTGTTGGTCAAACCTGCCAACTTCCTGCAACCTAGATCCTTATCTCGGCTTAGGAGAAGTGTTGGTTTTTCCAGCGAACCTCATTAGCTAAGATCCTAATCCTAGCTGAAGAGAGTTCAAAGTTGGTTATTCCGGCCAACTCTGAGCGAAGTGTTTGGATTTTTCAGCCAAACGTCTTGCAGCCTGGATCCTTATCCTCGGCTTAGGAGAAGTGTTGGTTTTTCCAGCCAGCCTCTTCAGCCCAGATCCTAATCCTAGCTGAAGAGAACTCAAAGTTGGTTATTCCGGCCAACTCTGAGCGAAGTGTTTGGTTTTTCCAGCCAAACGTCCTGCAACCTGGATCCTTATCCTCGGCTTAGGAGAAGTGTTGATTTTTCCAGCCAACCTCTTCAGTCTAGATCCTAATCCTAGCTGAAGAGAGCTCAAAGTTGGTTATTCCGGCCAACTCTGATTTTATGTAGAAAGAGTTAGTCAATCCTGCCAACCCACTTTGCCCCCAGTTGGGCAAAGATTTTTTACTTGGTTAGTCCTTCTTGTCAACCGTGCTAACTTTTGTCGAAGGTGTTCTGTTCGACATCGCTGTTTGTGCCGAACTCCGCCTTGGTGTTCGTTCTGAATTTGGTCACAAATGTCTCCGCTAGTTGCGCCCATGAAGCTATGCTACCTTCTGGCAACCTCTCAAACCACGTTAAACCCAGGTCACCAAGGCTGAGGGTAAAGGTGCGTTCTCTATTGTCGGAAAGAACGATGAGCTCTGCAACCTTGCTAACGCTTTGTCTGCTAGTTCGTAGGCAAGGCATGGCTCTGGAATTCCAACCTCGACACTTCCATGTGTTCTAGGAACCAATCGTTGTAGTGCGGAGACTTTGCGAGGGTCGCGAGCCTGAGTGTCTTTTATCCTTCGAGCCCTTTCAGTCTTCATTCTCTCAGGCCTGGAGTAGCGTGTCCTGGAAGTCTTTGATTGTGTATCGCTAGACCTGAGGCTTCTACATTCAGTTTGTGATAATGTGACTTGTCTGTCACGATCTTCTGAGTGGCAAGAGTGTGTGTTGCCTTTTATCTGGTGCTCCATCGTCTCTATGTCAGCCGACATTCTTCTTATTACTTCGTCTTGCTCCCTTACACGATCTTCGAGAACCTGAGGATCCATCTTCTGCCTTTGTCTATCAGGGCTTTGAGAGCGATGTGGACTTGAGCCCTGTCTTTCTCTTGCTTCTCTTCGTGGATTCCTTCACTGGGGATCTAATTCTGCCATGGATGGGATAGAAAGTAAACCTTCACATCTCTCACCCCCTTCCGGTGTTTGCCCATCAATAGCAGATTGCAGCAAGTCTTCATTGTGCGCCATTGCTTTAAACTAGAGAGGAAAACTTGATCAAGAGGTTTTGCACTTTATGAAATTCCCACAGACGGCGCCAATTGTACGAGCATGAAATAATTTTTCTTGTATGATCCTGTTGATCAAGTTTGCACTCCTCCAAACAACGTTGTTTTACCACCTGAAAACACAAACGTGAGCTAACCGGCGGGTGTGTGCCGGAAACCCCTCCGATGCCTAAGTCAGTAACTAGACAATAGACAATAAGCTCTGTGTATTCTAGAGTAAGAATTGGGATACCTGTACATAGGTCTGGTCATGAGCTTTTATAAACTTTACTTGGCACAATCCTAGTAGAATTTCCAACTCTCCTTGTAAGAGTCCTTCTAGGAATCACACACCCTACTCACTATCAACCAAGTGAGATGGTTTACGCAATTCTAGTAGGACTGTACTCTTCTTAGCAGAGTCCTCCTAGGAGTCATACTCCTACTCACTACCAACCAAGTGAGATGGTTTGCACAATCCCAGTAGGACTCTAACTCTCCTAGCAGAGTCCTACTAGGAGTCTCATCACTGCAAGCCAAGTGAGGTGGCTGAACCCTTTTACCTCGGTTATACATTCCTGACCGAACTGCCTTATCTCGGTCCCCTTCCATTTGGACTGTGTGATCGAAAGCCGATCTATCGAATGCCACCCTGCCGAGCTATACACAGCTTGGCCCTCGCCATTGATGTTACCTCGGTTTGCTACAAAACTTTCTTTACTTCGTCTGTCATCTTTACCTCGACTCTGTGCTCAACTAAGTAATGGAATAGAAGCATTGACCGAGCTATACCTAGCTCAGCCATCTGTCTTACCAAACACCTCGGCCAACCCTTAGGCCTAGTATTTAGGTAGCTCGGTCAACGCCCTTGCCCAGTTTGGTACTTAGATAAAAAGGGACCGAGCTACCCGTCGTCCATACTCCAGTCCTTATCTCGGTCCATTACGCGGCCCAGCTCCCAAAGAAGACTCTTCCTAGCTCGGCCCAATTTGTTTACAAATTACCCTCTCATTAGGGATGGCAATTTAAACCCGGTCCGACGGGCACCCGACCCCCCGACCCCGATTTGAGCGGTTTTTCCCTGAAAAATATCCCCGACGGGGCGGGGATGGTATTCAAAACTCATCCCCGATCAGTTTCGGGCTGGGGACGGGGATAAGTGTCTCAGCCACGTACCTGTCCTCGTCCCCGGCACCGTCTCCGGCTTCCTTTCCCTAATGTAAAATTACTATTTACCCCTATATATATATATAAACCAAACCCTAAAACACACACAACCTCTCACACAATGTGAGTCACACCGCCTCTCTCTCTCTCTCTCCCCCTGCCGATCTCCCTCCTCTCCCTGCCGATCTCTCGCCGATCTCCCTCATCTCCTCTCGCCGATCTCCCTCTTCTACCCACCGATCTCTCGCCGATCTCCCTCATCCTCTTCCTCAATTCAACCGTCGATCGAGACCCCCCTCCTCTCCAAACTCTGTCGCAACCACAGCTCTAAGAGGCTGGCCACAGCAGCTCTATTCGGGCTCAATTCGGCGATCGGATATTTTCTCATGCTTTTGGGTATATCTGTTGGGTATTAATTTTTTAGAACTGGGACTGATGAGGAAGATAATGATTCGGCTGCCATTGTTTACTCTTGTGCTTGTTCTTGACCTCTCTCTCTCTCTGTAAATGTTTCAGATTTTTTATTTTTTACATCTGAGCTCCAGTCTGTTCGATTTGTTGAATATATATGTTATATTTGATGTATGGGTGTGTTGTTGTTGTTGCTCAGATCTGTTGTTGTTGAATATCTATGTTTTTTTTGTTTTTTTTTTTTTTTGACCGAGGAATCTTCGGGGCCGGGGAAACCTGATCCCCGTTAGGGGGCGGGGGCGGAGGCGGGGGTGGTAATAGGCTCCCCGTCGGAGATCGGGGCCGGGGACTATAAAATTTCTACCATCGGGGATCGGGGGCGGGGAGTGTGATCCCCAGCCCCTCCCCGGCCCGTTGCCATTCCTAACAAAGGTCCATTGCTTTCTTAAGTTCTCTAGGAGGTTCCAGAATCTTCTGTTAGCTCCATGCCTCCAATCTTTATTTAATTGAGGGTCCTGCTATAGAAAATACAGCAGGTTGTGACAACCTGCTCAACATTTTGATGATTTGACACCCTAAATTGTAATAGCACCATGAAAATGTCATATTTACTGACTTTATGTTTGGTGTAACAGCTCTCAATGAAGCGTTAACTGGAGAAGTTCAACGTTTGAAGCTTGCAGCTGCAAAACTTAAGAGAAGTTAGACCTTCTAATAGCATGGCTCGACCAAATTCCATGAATCACTGGATGTTCACAATGCAAAATTAGCAACCGACCTAACTCGGACTTTATCAGTTGTAGCAACCACGACAACTACAATTGCAGTCTCTGCTGCCTTTGAGTAACCAACCACAGTTGCAATAACAAAACCTCACACACACACACACACACACCCTTCCATGGAAACCATACATTTTGAGACATTTATGTGTTAGTTTTCTATTATCTTTTTTGTTTTTTCTTCTTAAAGTGAGCTTGACAACTTAAAATATTGTCTTTTTCTTTCTCTTTTTTATATATACAACATTTCACGTGAACTCAAACATCCGAATGACATTGATACGAACTATTATTATTGGTGACATGGACTTTTTTCTTGTTATCTTTCATTCCCACCCTCCAAACATATCTTACGTTGACTTCTCATCATATTTGAGGAAATATAAATAGATGGTTATGTAGCTTCATAATATTTCATTCCTCTCACAATATTAGTTTCTTATTCTATTTTTTATTATTTAAAAATATTAGTCTTTTTTCAAAAATCAAAAACTAAAATAATATAAATTTCCTATTTTGTCATTCTTTTAAATTTATTAACAGTATAAAAAGTACAATTATAATAATTGATATTTTCTAAAAAATATACTATCAAAAAGTAATTTTAAAAAATCAATATTTTTAAAGTATAATAATTGTACTATCAAAAAAAGTTGGATTCTCTAAAAGTAACTATTATTTTGAGATGGAGGGAATAGTTTATTCAATATTTAATTTTTTTTAATGTAATTTGTTTCAAATTTGAACACAAAAATTATGTAATTTTAAAATTTCACTACAAGAAAAAATACCTTTGGCGACTAAATTTTTAGTTGCCAAAAGTCGACTTTTCACTTTTCCCGACTAAATATTTTAGTCGCCAGTTTTGTCACGAATAGATGGTCGGCGGAGGTATTGGCGACTAAAAAAGTTTTAGTCGGCAAAGTTTTAGTCTTCAGCGACCAAAGCATTTGTCGCTAATAGTCAATTACATTTTTGAAAATTATACATTTAGCGACTAATCTTTTTGTCGCCAATAGTGAATTATTATTTTTTTATTTATACATTTGCCGACTAAGCTTTTCGTCGCCAATAGTCAATCTTTTGGCGACCACTGTTTTTAGTCGCCGAAAGCATATTTCAGAAAAAAAAAATTTACCCTCTGCTGTTTCCAAGATTTGAACCACCGACCCATCCCACATTCCAAACCTTTACCAACACACTCTCCCTACTATGCCATTACAACATTACATGAATATAAATGCAACATATATTACTTATGTATTACTTTGATCGGTATTAATACAAAACTATATATATATATATAAAATAATTATTTTTATTCAATATAATTTATGTAAAAAATAAATTATTTACTAAAAAAAAATTACATCACTTTTGGCGACTAAATCTATTTTTTAGTCGCCAATTGTATAGTTTTGGCTACTAATTAGTTTTTAGTCGCTAAAAAAATTCATTCCCGCCTAAAAATAACCAATTTTGGCGACTAAACTTGTTTTTAGTTGCCAAAAACGTCCCCTTTTGGCTACTAAACTGAATTTTAGTCGCCAATTGACTGTTTTTAGCTACTAATTTTTTTTTAGTAGCCAAAAAGCTTCACTTTCAGCGACCAAACTGTTTTTAGTCGCCAAAACACGTAGAATCGGCGACCAAACTGTTTTTTAGTCGCCAAAACCTATACTTTTAGCTACTAAATTATTTTAGTCGCCAAAAACTGTCACTTTTGGCTACTAAAAAATCTTTAGACGCTGAATCCCCTATATTTGGCGACTAAACTGACTTTTAGTCGCTAAAACCCTTATATTCGGCGACAAAACTCTTTTAGTCGGCAAAAGTGATCAATTTTGGCGACTAATTTCATTTTAGTCGCCAATTCTACTACTTTCAGCGACGAAAACTCCAATTTTAGTCACGAAATCTACTTTTTGTTATAGCGTTTCTATCAACCCATCAGTAGATACTTTGCTTTGGGAGTCAACATATATCTTTAAAATTATTGGAGTATATTATTATTTTTCTAAACCATGAAAAAAGGTCTAGTTCTACACCCAAAAAATTAATCATATTGTGTTTGGTTTAGTTTTTGAAATTTGTTTTTTAGTTTTTCGTTTGTTTGTTTGTTGTTATTGGTTTTTTTTTCAACAAATATTAGTATCGTTTTAAGTGTATTTTAAAAGTAAAAAGAAATAATAATTAAAATATGAAGAAAAAAAAGGTTACCAAACACAAAAAAAAAATAAAAATAAAAAAATCAATATTTCGTTTTAAATTAAAACAAGGCTTGGCTTCTCTCCCGTCTCAAATCAGACTCGAGAGGGATTGTTAGGTCCATTGAGCCACTTTTGGGTTATGTTGTGATGATTTAAACCATTCACATTTTAGAATTCGTCGAATACATCATCCATATAAAAAATTAAGTCCAGTGGATAACAGAAATCATGTGTTTAGATTTATTTTGTATATAAAAAATAAACGGCAAAAAAAATTAACGGTTCATATAAAATTGATCCGAACATGTGATTTTCGTTATCCAATTAACTTAATTTTTACATGAATGATCACTACAAAAAATTAAGGTTTTAGAGACCAAAATTTAGGGATAAAATTATTTTTTAGAGATCAAATATTTTTGTTGCGAAAAGTTTCATCTTATATTTTAACATCAAAAATTTGACATTAGTGATGAATTATTATTGTTTTGGGACCAATTTTTTTGTCTCAAAAAATAAATCACTTTGAGACTAAATTATTGTTCCTAAAATTCTATTTATTAGTGACATTTTTAAAAATTTGTCGCTAAAAGCCTTGTTTTTTATTTTTCGAGACAGCCTTTTAGCGACTACCTTCACGACGATAGAAATTGGTCCCTAAATGTATTTTGCAACAAAATTTTCAGTTTTAGACACAAAAAAATTTAATTTCTAAAACTCTTATATATTGTAGTAGATGTACTCGACGAATCGTAAAATATGAATAATTTAAATTACGAAATTGATACCCAAATGTGGGCCTAATAGACTAGACTAAAAGGTCCAATCCAATAGGAGAATAAGGGAGACCGTCCAATTCCTCAAAACAAACAGCAAACTTTCCAAATTTATTTTTTGGAATAGATGGGTTATTTATTTATTGGAAAACCTATAAATGATTGATTTGTACCTGGTGAAAGCTTATTTGTCAAACCAAGTTTGGTGCCCGTGGAGGTGAGGTCCGTATGGTTCAAAATTTTAATTAAAAAAAAAAAATTATAAAATATATGTATACAAATACAAGAAAAAAGAGAAAGGATTAACTTCTTAACATATTTCACTACATAAATGTGATTATACACTTGAATATATTTTGAAATTTAATTTCTCTTTAGCATAACTCATTCGTTAGAGGGTGTAATCTCAGGCGGTTTGACTTAGTCGAATGATAAAGTAATTAATGGACTTACCACTTAAGAGGGCATAAGCTCAAATCTTATAAAAGTCAAATATTTCAAATCTTGGAATTATTGGAGGTTTGTTTGGTCGTTTACTTTAAGACTTGGGAACTAGTCAATGTGTGTATAAATTGACCTGAACACCTGATTATATAATAAAAAAATAAAATAAAATTAGTAGATGGTCTAATTCATATATTGATAATCATGATGAATAATGTTGATGGAGGTGTACGAAAAGATATTTTGGTGATAGAAGTCACGGTGGTGATTTGGTTTAAGAAAGTCTGGAGGTAGCAAAAGAGAAACTATTCAGCTTGCTTGTTGTTTTTTTTTAAACAACAATGTTAGAAGGTCGCAATTTTTGTGGCCACAATGGCTCAAAACTGCCAAAACGACGTCGTTTTGGCAGTTTTGAGTCATTGTGGCTACAAAAACTGTGGCCCTCAAATATTTTCCTTTTTTTAAAACACTTTTTAGAAAATTTTATTTTCTTGTTTTTCGTGTTTTTTTGTTTTTACTGATTTTTTTAATATTTTAAGCAATTTTTTTTTTTTACTTTTTAGACATACCTAACATAAATATACCTAAAAAGTAAATTTTTTTTTACTTTTTAGACATACCTAACATAAATATACCTAAAAAGTAAAAAAATTGTGAAAAAAATCTTTTAAAAATTCACTAAATATCAAAAATACGAGAATTCAGTATATTTTTTATATTTTTATGTATTTATTAAATTTTTAAAATATTTTTTCACAAATTTTTTACTTTTTAGATACATCTAAGTAAGGTGCATCTAAAAAAGTAAAAAAAATGTTTAAAATTTTAAAAGTATTCACTAAAAACAAAAAAACTTGAAAATTAAAAAACTGAGTTTTCGAAAAACTTAATTCAAAAAACTCAAACCAAACACGCTGATTGGTAGTGAAAACAACTGACAATGACGTTGATGATGGTTGGAAAGTGGCTAAGGTAGCATGATTGCGAATGTATGATGGTGATGATGGTTAGTAGGTGGTGAGGGGAAAAAATGAAGGAAAATAAAAGTATCAACCAACTGAAAAAAATATATATATATATATGACTTAGGCTCTCTTTAAAAGTTTTTTTGACTAAGTCAAAAAGTCATTAAAAAGTCATAATTTCACATCTTATATATTGTACGGGGAGCAAATATTCCGGCGAGCTCGTACTCCTTTCTTTCAAGCTCTCTGTCTGTCTGATCGACCTGCGAACACAACAGCGGTGAGTTACCCGGCAGTGTGTGGCCGGAAAACCCCTCCAACGATCAAATTAGCACACACTCAGGGATAGAGAGGGAGAGGAGAGAGTTGCATGTCTAAGTGTATCTCACCAAATGATTATGCCTCCAAGCATGGGGGCGCAGACACGCTTATATACCTTCTGCGCCCCAAATCTACTTCCATTAGTCTCTCAACACGTGGTGCTGCTATCCCATCTGTCAGCACAAATCCAGCAATCATCACCTAACCAAACTATCAGAATATCTTGGCGGAGCCCGGCAAACTGGCCGAATCACCTCAGCCTCACACGGTCGTGCTGCGCCACATGCCCGAATGCTCACTAGCCGAGCTCCATACCGACCGAGCTCAGTTGCATTCCGGCAGAGCCGAGCTCGAAATAGGTCACGCGGGTAAAACAAAGGCCTTCCTGCCGAGCTAAAGGCGCGAGCCTTCCTGCCGAGCAATGCAAGTAGCACGGTTCCCACCTGTGCAAGTTCAAGTAGCTCGGTCTTGGGCTTTAGCCGAGCAGCCCCATCTCCGTGCAAGTTCAAAGCTATCCTGGCCCAAATGCGCTCGGCCTTCAACTTGCCCAGCCCTTACCATGGCCCATTTCCAGCTCATAAAATCT